CATGTATTCAGGGACATTTTGAAACCAGAGCATTTTCTCTTACCTTTTCTCAGAAGTGGGTTTTTGTGAACTAAATAAGCATCATCCACCACTGAGAAATTAGACATCTTGTTTTCTCTCATCGCCTGGAAGGAGCTATTCTTAAGAATTAGGCTGAGTTCTTCTGGCTCTACCTTCTTACCCAGGAACTGACAGATCTTCTCCACACTTCTCTCTGTGTCCTAAAAGAAGAAAAAACAAGAGAGAAGATGTGAGAGAGAAAGGCAACAGAGAAACTAGGATGAGGAGAGGGAAGAAGAGAGAAACAAGAGACAGAAGTGAGAAGTGATGGAGTTGGATGCAACCAGGAAAAAGAAAAAAAAATAGGTCAAGAAGAGAAAGCAGGAAGGTGTGAAAGATGACAGGATGCTTTTGGATTTCTCAGTCCAGTTGATTTTTGGACAACGTATCATTAAAGGACAAGGCCTAAGGTTTCTAGAAAGACTTGAGAAAGACTTCTAAATGATGATTAGGATTAAAGAAGGAACGAATCCGGGAGAACTTGATGAAGATTTAAGGAATTGATTTCAACTCCTGGCTGTGCCATCAAACTATACTGTTGCATATAACCAACATTTGAATGACACATAGAGTTTTATAAGATCTTCTTATACATCAATAGTGAGTACTTGCTACTGAATCCTGGGAGATTATGATAGGAAATAACTTTTTATACTAGAAAGGCTTTCCTGTGAATCATAGACTTTGCTCTTAGAGCTAAAATGCTTTAAAAATTTTTGTTTAATTTCATAAGCCCCAGTTTTTATCTAAAAAATAGTCACATGAGTGTGGAAACAACTAAAATTGAAGTTCATGTGTGATTTGAAAGGAAAATTACAAGAAGTTATAGAATCATGACCCAAGGGACTTAAACATGTTAAGAAAGGTTTCCTGATTAAAATGGACTCATGCTGAGGCCGTCAGGGGATTTGACAGAGGTGGACAGAGGAAAGTGACCGGGAGTAATGTTTCTTAGGTGGAAGCAACATCCAGTGTTTATGTCACTGTCTCTTTCTACAGGATGCCACCAATAGGTCAGATTCTTTCTGCTATGGTATCCTCACCCTCACCAGTCCTGAGCATCACCTGACAGCTTCTCCTGTCTCTCAGCAGCCCCTCCAGTCCTCGGCATCTCAGCACATTCACACAGGCTGGTTTTGTGCATCCATTTGTCTTCTTACCAGTGAGATTGAGACGTCAGACAGTTGGACATATTTCTGGAACTGAATTGGAACTGACCTGAACTGTTCTGTCCCTTCCCCAGGGTCCTCTCATCACTGAGTCATCCGCACCATATGTCCTGCTCACAAGCATTTTACAACCACTAGTGGGCGCATCTGCCTGAATGCCTGGTAAACCCCTTTAGATATTTGAAGAGAAAGTGAAGAAGAACATAGGAAAAAAAACATGAATGGTGTGAAAAGTCAGCTATAAGGAGGGCAATGAAGACCAGGGAGCTAATTTCACTCTTAGTGACTGTTTTCAAGGCTAAATTTTGAGTGAGAAGGAGGAATGGAGACACAGAGAAATGGAAGGAACTCAGAGGAAGAGAAGGTGGTGGTGAGAGGGTGTGCACCAACTACTATAATGACAGTTACCCATTTCAGCTCTTCATAACTCAGCATCAGGAAGTTCTCCCTCTCTCTCATGGATACCCAGCCACGAACATGGTCAAACCATGACCCATATGGCACTGCATGGGGGGAGGCAGAGAGATAGACAGGTTAATTCCACCTTTTAGGTTCACTCCCCCATCAGCTATATTACAGTATAATTGACAACAAATGTTTGTATATATTTACAAGGTACAACACAATGTTTTGATTGATGTATACATTGTAAAGTGATAAGACGGAACTCAATAACATAGTCATCGTTTAGGTGTTAGTATTTTGATAGTGGGAACATTTAAGATCTCTTCACTTGCCATTTTCATGTACATAATTACGTATATGTATATGTACATATGTATTGCAGTATATATATATATACAGAGAGCCTCAACATACAGAAGGAGCTCCCATGAGCCCTTTTCTTAGCTTCGAACATTATTGGTAGATTGGGTTTTTTTTTTTTTTTAACAGTAAGAGGGTTTTATTATTTGGCAAAAGTAAGGACTACATGCGGATAGTTCCCAAGGCAAAATGTCCTGATAAATTATTTTCAATACACCTTATTTCATCTGTTTCCCTTTTCCGTCCAACTGTTTTGTTTTAGAAAACTCCCACACATCACAGCACTTCAAGGTGAGACACACCTGCGATAGAAGCAGTTTGGGGAGTGAGGAGAGATGCTCTCCATCTTGCATGGTTTGAATCCAAGGTTATGTATGGCTTCTCTTCAGGCTGCTAGAGCTCCAGAGACAGATCACAGCTGACACAAGGGACTCAGAATGCACTTTTGAGAATAATTGCCAAGTTACAAGTGCTTGAAAAAGCCCAGGGATTCTGCACAACTAAAAGTACAGAGATTCCAGAGTCAAGCAAACCTTTTCAGACTGATAGAAACAGAGGATTAAGGGAGTTTTGAATAGAGGCATTTTCTGAAAAACAATGGCGGGAAGTTAAAAGGTCAGGATTATCTGGGAAGATAAGAAAAGCTGACTTTCAGAAAGCCACAAATTTGGAGAGTGGAGAAGAAGAATATAGTTATCTGTGACAGTACGAGAGTTGTTAGACTCAGCAAATAGTGTGGATGGTTTATCAGGGACAAGCTGAGGGGCTGACTAGAGCTCTGCTGCCACAAAGAATAGGTGGACTTTGCAGATTTGGATTCCAGCGGTGACAGATCCTTGTAAGCCCAGGGCTGGTGAGAAGTAGATACAAGGTGGGTGGCAGGGGAGGTTTGAGAACGGACTCCGCGCGCCCCCTAGCGTCCATATTTTACAGCACACTCACCATTTCCTTCCAGGAAACATTCAAGAAATTGTTTCACTGACTTGGGTTTCTTAGCGAAATTCACTGAACTCCAGTAGAAATAACCAGATACAATAACATCTTTGGGATTTCTGATGACATAAATCACCTTAATGGGAAAATAGAATGACAAATCAGTACATTTATTCCCACCTTTGGAAATCTTCGTAAAAATGGCAAAAACCCCAATTCTTGGAATATGTCTATTGAATATTAATGACTCTTTTAAATAAATAACTTAATGCATTCATTAATCAAATGTAAAATGTAAAGTTTCTATGAAGTAGTCACTGCTCCAGGATTATAACAATGAAAGAGGACAGCATTGCCCTCCCCTCTGGGGTATATGAGTCTATTCACAATGTGAAGGAACTGGAGGGTTTTAAACTGTGAGAAGCATCGTATTTGTGTAGATAGTTTAAAGGTCATTAACAGGAGGATGATTTAATACATTATGGTTCATTCATAGATGTATAGAAATATACATCCATATGTACATTTAAGATCGTGGATGACTCTCACAGACATCACATTGAGTGAAGGAAGTCAGGCATCCAATGTTCATACAATATGAGTCTATTTGTATGAAGTTCAAGAACAAGCAAAACTAAGCTATGAGTTTAAGGCAGGGAGTGTTGACTTCTGTGTGTGGACATTGGTGAAAATACTCATCAAGCTAATACTTAAGATCACTACCCACAAACACACACATCTACTCACATACACAAGGAAGATTAGTCGGCATTTGAGCATGTGAATTTTCCTTTGGATTCTGTACCCACTCTCTTTGTGACAGTATTCTAGTCCTCATGTCTCTCTAGTCCTCAGTCTCCTCACACAGGGATTTACCAAAAATTATAAGACACATGTAAAGAGGCATGTTGTGACAAATTCTTTGTGTTACCACACAAGGTACAATTTCTAAGAGAAGAGACTGTTATGCGAAGTTTGTCCACTTGGTTTCAACTGAAAAATATTAAACAATTCACAAACCAATAAAGACCTAGGAAAGCCTGTTTCTCTTTCCTTCCTTCTTCTCACTCTTCCTCCCTCCCTCCCTCCCTCTCTCTTCCTTCCTTCCTTCTTTTGTTTTCTTTCTTCTTTTTAGTGTTATATTTTTTAGTAAAGCATGTTTCTAAAATTGGTGTGATATATGTGAGATCCTGGATAACAGTTGTTCCCTCTGGTGATCACTGTTCAGCCACTGGGGAGATCCGTGTGGCTGCTCATCCACATAGACAGCTACACACAGTAACACACAGAGGTTCAAAAAACTATCCACCACACCAGAGTGATCTAGATGAATTTCAGCATTGAATTATAAATGTGCTGGTTCTCATATGAACAATTCTACTTCTTCTCAGTGGTCGGAGGCATGCACTGAATTAACATTGGCTCACTCTTTATTTTAGAACGACACAAAGGGGCTTATCTAGTATACCAAGATCTGACAATTAAATTTGAGAACTACACCAAGGTCTGACAATTAAGGTTCAGAGCTACTCATCCTACAAAAAGTGCTACATCCTTCATTGCTGAACATCACCAGGGTCACCTTTGAAGGCTTTCGTTGGGAAGCTTTGTACTGATTCCAGTGCCCAGTCTATGTTTCCAAGCAAGTTTGGAATTCTTTTTCGGGAATGAACATTAGAGTGCTGTCATCTTACCTGTAATGTCCTAAATCTCATCAAAAAGTCTTCCTTTCAGTTTTTTTTTGGGGGGGCAGGGCTGGGTTGAACCTGCCACCTCTGGCATATGGGGCCCTACCCTGATGGTGCCGCCATCAGTATTTTCTTTATCTTTAGGTAAAGAAATAAGTCAATGGAGGCCAGATCTGGTGAGTAGGGAGAGTGCTCAGTACAGTTATTTGTTTACTGACTGAAAACTCCCTCATAGACAGTGCCATGTGGGCTGACACATTGTCATTATGCAAGAGCCATGTGGTGTGGGCCAAGATTTTCAGTTAAAATTGTCCTGTTTCTCCACTGAAATTTACTCAGACTGCTATACTTCTCACAGCCAGCTAATTATTTTGACTCATAGTTCCATGAATTTGTGCAAGGGTTCCATTGGTTTCATCTGCTCATTACTGGCCTCCTGGTCTCTTCATCCATGCTAATTTCTCTGTCCTCTAATAACCTGTCATCCATGTGTACACTGCTGTTTTCTTCATGGCATTATCCCCATTCACTTGGACTAACATGTCCCTGATTTCACTTCCACTCTTACCAACTTCACAAGAAATTTAATGTTTATTCTTTGCTCTAGTGCAAACACTGACAAACTCGTGATGGCACACAAAAACACAACAACGATAAAAACACCACTCAGGAAAACAGCACCACGCATCCACACAAACACAGCTGTGAAACACTGATATACCAAAGTTGTGAATCCTTCCCAAGTTGTTTGTAAAGTCCTGCAAACATAAGTGCACAGTGGCAAGTTCAGGAACTTCATTGTCAGACCCTTTCATATTGAACAGTTGTAAATTCTAGCTATTCTAAGTCTGTTTATTTAAGGTTCTGCCATCATCATGTTACTTTGTGCCTGGTTTGTATCTTGCTGGCATATTATGTGGAATGGTTCCTATGCTTGCACTCAGCTACAGTCCTTGGAACAGTCACACTGGCATCACCTAATGCAGAATCTCAGGTCCCATCCAGACCTACTGAATGATAATGCATTTCAACAAGGTCTCCACCTGATTTACAGACACATTAACATTTGAAAGGCATTGGTCCTACATGTTTTGATGATTGTGCACTGACCTTGGCCTTGGAACTGAAGAAAGACTTGGGGAAGAGATGGATGGGGAGGTGGGAGGTGAGCAAGCGTGGGCCCTCCTTCTCATTTGCTAATGCAAACCCAGGGTCAGTCTCTATCCAGGGTGAGCATTCCCAGATTGGCACAGACTGAACCCACTTGGGATCCCCCTTGGAGTGAATTAGGTAGAGAATCTCCATCAACCAGTGTGTTCCTAGATAAAGAGGGGGAAATGATGGTCACTCCAATCTCATTCTAAAAACAAATGGTAAAATACACATAACATACAATGTACTGTTTATTTGTTTATTTGTAGAGACAGAGTCTCACTTTATTGTCCTCGGTAGAGCGCTGTGGCGTCACAGTTCACAGCAACAACCTCCAACTCCTGGGCTTGATTCTCTTGCCTCAGGCTCCCATGTAGCTGGGACTACAGACGCCCACCACAATGCCCGGCTATTTTTTTGTTGACGTTTGAACTCACCACCCTTGGTATATGGGGCCGGCATCCTACTCACTGAGCCACAGGCGCCGCCCACAATGTACTGTTTTTAAGCATACAGTTTAGTAGTGTGAACTATGTTTCTGTTGTTGCACAACCAATCTCCATGTTTGTAATCTTGCAAAACTGAGACCCTATTCATATTACACAACAATTCCTCATCCCCTCCTCCCTCAGCCCTGGTGAAACCTCATGTAAGTAGAACCATACAGTGCATTTTTATGACTGGATAACTTAATTTAGTGTAATGTCCTCCAGGTTTATCCATGCTCTAGCATGCATCAGCATTTTCTTCCTTTTCAAGGAGGAATCCTATTCCATTGTATCTGTATGCCACAGTTTGTTGATCCCTCATCTGTCAAGGAGTGTTTGTGTTGCTTTTGGCCATTTGCTGAAGTCTTTGAATATCCCCATTGCTGTTTGTTTTTCAGGGTCCTGCCACTTGCAATGCCTTTGGCCTCAATCTGGTCTCTTTGCAGACTCTCACCCCCCGGCCCCACTCCCATCTAGATATGATCTACGTCTTCCAGTCCCTTGGATTTGTCAGGCCCTTTTCCAATTTCTGACATCACCCAGGATGCTTCCTCTTTGTGAAAATATCCCTTCTTACTAAGTAATCTCGCTTTCATTCTTTCTATTGCACTTTAGATTCTGTTCCTTCTGTTAGGATTTCAGTGGTCATCCTTCTGCTTGCTTGTGGGGGGTTGGGTGCATGGCAACCTCGACCTGGTTTGAATGCTGGCTGGGAAAATGATGCTGATAATAATCTGCTCCAATATACAAAATCTGAAAATGTCTGTAGATGGCTTACATCAACTCAGGCTGAGCAGACTGAGAAAATGCCTTTCTGGCTTCTTCGAAGGCTTTTATTAATTTTTAACAAAGATGCCAATGATAGGATTAAAAGAATCTTAAGTTTTCCAGAAAGACTGGATAAAGAGAAAGCCAGGACAAGTGGCAGGGGTTGCTGAACAGCCCAAAGTGCATGTGAATGGAGGTGGGGGGGCAGAAGTTAGTTCTATTCAGGCAGGGGAAGTAAACCAGGTTTTCTTACTTAACTACTTATTCAAAGAGTTTAGGGCTTGCCATCTGCTGACCTGAATGCATAGGCCTAGTCTGGCCTGTCCAGACCCCTCTGGGTTCTTTCCCTCTTCTATGGTTTTAAAGAAACCCAAGGGATTATCTGCCTGGCTGTATTTTTCTGGATACCCCACAGTTGAGGTTCTGTGCTCCACTGAGCAGAGTCCACCTATCTACCTCCCACACGTGCTGATACACACACCTGAATCAGCTTTAATATTCACTCCTCTGGGTTCTCCCCCTCTGAACACTCACTTTACTGTGTAAGTCCCTGACTGAATCCTTTTCTTTGAACGTACATGGTACTAGGCATCCCCCCTTCCCCAAAGCACTGTACATTGTCTGTCATAAGAAAGCGTTCTAGGGTGGTGCCTGTGGCTCAGTGGGTAGGGCGGCAGCCCTATATACTGCGAGTGACGGGTTCGAACCCAGCCCCAGCCAGCTAAAACAGCAGTGATAACTGCAACAAAAAATAGCCATGCGTTGTGGTGGGTGCCTGTAGTCTCACCTACTCGGGAGGCTGAGGCAAGAGAATTACCTAAGCCCAAGAGGTGGAGGTTGCTGTGAGCTGTAATGCCACGGCACTCTACCAAGAATGGCAAAATGTGACTCTGTCTCAAAAAACACACAAACAAACAAAAAAACTGTTCTAATCAGGACTTGAGGAGGTGGCTCCTGCCTGTCATCCCAGGCAGAGTTATGAGGTTGGCTTTTGGACCAATGATTCAAGTCAGCCTCAGCAATATAGCGAGACCCCATATCCATAACAAATAATTGTTTTAAAAAAATTAACTCAGCTATGGGGCTCAAGCCTGTAGTTGTGGCTAATTTGGAGGATTGTTTGAGCCCAGGACTTTGGGGTTGCAATGAGGTTGATTGGGCCACTGTACTGCAGCTGAGCCACAAAGTGAGAAGAAAATCACTCCTGTCCTGTACCCAGATAATGAGGAACACAGACACAGCCTTTCTCAGTTCAAGATTCTGTTTCTTACCTGATTTGGGGACAGTCATTGTTACTACATCTTCATCCTTCATGACAAACTCTTCTCGTGCTTTTCTAAGGATTTCAGGACTATAGGAGACCCGTGGGAAAGGGATCCCTTCATACCATAAATTGTCATTTGACATGATGAGCAGGTCCTTGTTGTGGCATGAGGGTTTCAGCTACAGACACTACTGGAGGCTGTGGCACCTGCTGGTGAAAGGTTCTGGACCCAAGGATAAAATTCCTAGACATGAGACGAAAGAAAGACAGAGATGAAATTCATGTGATTAAAGTGGCTTTTATTCCCCCTGGAGTGCAGAGAGGGTGAGATTCCTGACTAAGGAGAAATTCACACGCGGCCTATGGCAGACAGGGATTTTTAAGGGTTAGGACAGCCAGGATTGGTGGCATTCCTATTTCCTGGGAGGGACATAAATGTGACCCTTCCTGGGCAGGCCATGAACCTGACCCTGCCTGGGTGGGGTGCAAATTTATTTGAGCAGGTACCCTTGATTCTGGCATGTTAGGTTTTCTAGTAAAGAGAAAACAATCATTAATCTCTGCCCACTTATTGCAATATTTGCTTGCTGATTCAGGGAAGTAGATATGGTGACTGACAGCTACAAGTTTAATGAATTTGAGAAATGGTGAACTCAATAAAACATTGTGGAGGTAGTCAGAGGTTTAATTCATGGGAGTGAACAGGAAATTCAGCGACAAAAATGCAAGGACATACAAATATGTGCATATTTCAAAATATTTTTAAAGCAAGGCTCAGTAGCTCACACCTGTAATAGTGTGACTTTGGGAGGCCGAGGTGGGGGGGGGGTTGCTTGATCTCAGGAGTTCAAGGTTAGCTTGAGCCAGAGTGAGACCCCATCTCTCCTAAAAATAGAAAAAAATTAGGTGGGCATTATGGTGGGTGCCTATACTCCCCGCTATATAGAAAGCTGAGGCAAGAGGATCATTTGTGCCCCCAAATTTGAAGTTGCTGTGAGCTCTGAAGCCATAGCACTCTACCCAGGGTGATATTGTGAGACTTTGTCTAAAAAATAATAATGATAAATATATTTTCAATAAGCTTTACTTTTTATGAATAAAGATATATAGAGAAATTGCAAAGTGAGTACAGAGTATTCCCATAGTTTCAGATTTCCTTAGTTTTTACCTAATGGGATTTTTCTCCTCCACAATTTCATCCAGGACATCAGATTACATATAAGGGTCAAGTCTCTTTAGGCTCCTCTTGGCTGTGACAGTTTCTCAGACATTCTTTTTTTCTGATGTCCCTGACAATGTGGAGGAATCCTGGTCAGCTATTTTGTACAATGTCCCATCAGTGGGATTTGTTGGCTGCTTTTCCTCACAATTAGACTGGGTTCATGGATTTTGGAGAGAAAGGTCATAGAACCAAATGCCGTTACCATCACTAATAATCAAGGGTACTTCCTATCAACATGGTCATCTGAGGTCACATGATTCAGATTTCCCCATTGTGACTTTCCTTTTCCCTTCCTCCCTTTCTCTGTCTAGAATTCAAGTCAGTTCTAGACTTGAAGATCGTCATAAGATCATATTGTGTAAACCCCAATCGAGAAACATTCTGAAAATACTAAATCTGTCCTCTTTAAATTGTCACATGGTAATGGAAACAAGGAAAACTGAGCCCATGTCTCAGACTGCAGGAACATGAAGCTCCATACTATGTGAGTCCTGGACCACATGTGCACACCATGCAGCAGTTATATCAAGGGTACAGTTGGCCAAGTCTCAACATGCAACATGGAGTGAGATAATGTTGAATAACATTGTACAACTGTCAGGTTCCCTGATTTCTATAATTTGACTGTGGACACACAGGATGTATCCTCATTCTTAGAACATATACACCAAAGTTTCGAGGGATAAAAGAGAATAATTGGCCAGGTACAGTGGCTCATGCCTATAATCTTAGCACTCTGGGAGGCTCAGGTAGGAGGATCACTTGAGCTCAGAAATCCAAGACAATCCTGAGTACCAGTGAGACCTCATCCCTATAAAAATAAAATAAGAAATTTAGCCTGACACTGTGATGTGTACCTATAGTCTCACTCTCAGGAGGCTGAAGCAAATAGATCACCTGATCCCAGGAGTTTGAGTTTGCTATGAGCTGTGATGATACCACTACACTCTTGCCCAGCCAACACAGTGAGATTCTGTCTGAAAAAAAAGCAGAAAACACTTCCTCTACAACAACCAGGGCAGTAACAACTGTATATTTATGTGAAAAGTGTATTTACCTGAAAAGAATGAAGCTGAACACTTACCCTACAATGTATACATTAATTAAAACAGATCAAATACCTAAAATATCCTAAAACTCTTAGAATAAAGACAGGGGTAAATGTCCCTGACCTTGGATTTGCCAGTGGTTTCTTTGCCAAGGAAACATCAATTCACATGCCAAGGAAGAAGAAAAAATAGAGTGTTCTGCCATGAAAAACATTTGTGCCTCAAGGAACACTATCAAGACAGCGGAAAGAAAACCTACAGAATAGGAGAAAATATTTACAAATTATATATCTGAGCAAATAAAGAACTTACACAACTGAACAAAAAAAAGTCAATTAAAAATGGGCCCAAAACTTTAAAAGACACTTCTTCAAGGAAGATAAGCAAATAGCCAAGATGTGTAGGAAAGAGGGTTATTAGTTATTAGAGAAATGCAAGACAAAAGTACTTCCTATCTACCAGAGTCACTTGAGAACATTGCCCCAACCAATTGGACTAAATTTGTCTTTCAAGAATACTACACCAAAGAGCAATATAATACACATTCTTTTCAAGTACCCATGGCTTATTCACTAAGATAGGCCAAATGCTAGGCCATTAGACAAAGTTCAACAAATGTCAAAAATTGGAAAAATATAAATCCTTTATTCTCCTATTATAATGATGTTAAATTATAAACCAACAAACAGTTCCTATAAATCTTTAAATACTTTTAAATTAATTAAACAATTTCTGATAAACTATGGGTCAAAAGTACTAATATTCCTCTCCGTTTTTTTAATTGTAAGTTCTATAGTGACACCAGAGTAAACTCTATCTACCAAAGGACAGCACGGTGATATGTGCTGGATTATGACACCAGTTGAATACCTATTAGGATAGGTAATAGGTATTAGAATAAGTATTCAACTGGTGTCTTTTCTCTCTTGTTTATTTACTGACAAACAAGCAGCTAACTCTGTCTTTATATCCAAAAGATCCAGGATTTCAAGACTGTCATATCGTGTCCTCCAACAAATGGTATGTTCAAGTCCTAACCCCTAGTACCTTAGAATGTTGCCTTATTTAAAAATAGACTCCATTTAGAGTCTGTAGAGTTTTCTAGATACACGAGCACATGGTCAGCAAACAGGATAGTCTGACCTCCTCTTTTCTGATTTGAATACGCTTTATTTATTCTCTTGCCCAATTGCTCTGGCTAGGACTTATCAAACTATGTTGAGTAGAAGTGGTGACAGAGGGCACCTTTGTCTTGTCCCAGTTCTTAGGGGGAATGTTTTCAACTTTTCTCCTTTCAGTATGATGTTGGCTGTGGGTTTGTTATTTATGGTTTTTATAATTTTGATGTATGTTCTTTCTATGCCTAGTTTGTTGAGTGTTTTTGTATGAAAGGGTGCTGGATTTTAAGGAAAGCTTTTTCTGTTTCTATTGAAATGATCATAAGGTGTTTATTTTGCTTCTGTTTATGTTGTGAATCACATTTATTTCCATATATTAAGACATCCTTGTATTCATGGGTTGAAGCTCCCTTGACTGTACTGAATTATTATTTTGATGTGCTCTTGTATATACTTGCTAGTGTCTGTTGAGAATTTTTGCATGTATGTTCATAAGGGATATTAGTCTGTAGTTTTCTTTATTTGCTGTGTCCTTTCCTGGTGTGACAGTTAGGCTTGCTGGGTGCACACAGGAAAGGGCTGGGTGGGATGAGGAGAGTCACCCAACATTTAAGTGGGAGTAAGAAGGAAAAACTAGAGGTAACATTATATTTGTTTCCATTAGTATAATTTAAGTTAAAACCAAACAACTAAATAATACTGATTTGGCAAAGTTTTGTAACCATAGCTGGTGGAAGTTTAAATTGGAACAACCCCTTTGGAAAATAGTCAGGCAGCATCTACTCAATCCTCATGTCCACACATCTGATGATGCAGCAGTTTCCATCCTGGGTGTGTCTATATCCAGCGGTAATGTCCACTAAGAGACATATAAACAGGACATGAGGACAGGTAATTAAGAATTATAGCCCCTAACTAGAAATTTCCAAATTCCCATCAAGAACATAATGGGTTAAAATAAGCTTTGGAGCATTGACTCAAGAAGTACTGCACATGAGTATGAATCTCATGACCATAATGTTGAATAAAGGAAGCCAAACACAAAAAAAAGTTGCTGTGATATTGAATTTAGAAAGAGTACAAATGTAAGTAAAAATTGATAAGAAACTTTCTGTTCTCCAGACTGGCTGTACAATTTAGCATGTCTACCAGCATCCCACAGGAGATTCCCTTGCTTTCACCCCTATGATCACTAGGTTATATTAGCAGTTTTTCTTTTAATCATTCTAATAGGTATCACCTCGTGTCATATTTTCATTTTACTTTATATACATATACCTATATATATACACACACACATATATATTTTTGAGACAGAGTCTTACTTTGTTGCTCTCAGTAGAGTGCTGTGGAATCATGGCTCACAGAAACCTCAAACTCTTGGGCTCAAGTGATCCTCTTGCTTCAGCCTCCCAAGTAGCTGGTACTATAGGTGCCTACCACAATACCTGGCAATTTTTAGAGACAGGATCTCACTATTGCTTAGGCTGGTCCCCAACTCCTTATCTCAGGAATCCACCTGCCTCTGCCTCCCTGAGTGCTAGGATTATAGGTGTGAGCCACCTCATCTGTCTTTTAACTTTTATTTCCTTAAGGGCTAATGATGCTAAACATATTTTTATATGCTTTTCAGTCATCCCTAATCCATTTTGGCAAAGTGTTTGTTGAAATCTTTTGTTCACTAAAAAAAGCGCTGTTTTCTCTTTGCTGAGTTTTGAGGTTTTTTGTAAATTCTGGGAACAAGTCCATTGCTGGAGGTTATTTATAAGTATTTCCTGTTTAAGCCAAGGGCTTATCTTTTCATTCCTTAATAGAATCTTTTTCAGAGCAATACTCAATTTGATTATATTATTATTATTATTTGTAGATATGAGGTCTTGGTATACTTTCAAATCAAGTCTTAGACATCTG